GGGGGGGGGGGGGGGGTTGCTTACTGTACGAGCAGCTCGTCAAAGTTCTCATCGGCGGCGCATTTCCGAGGGCGACCTCGCTGTACGTGTCGACCGCGCTTAAACTCCTCATCATCAACGGTCCAAAAGGACCCAAACTCATCCTCTACTCTCACAAAGCACTTATGCAGGGAAAGGTTGGTGCGAATGGCACCCTGGGAAAGCAAAGCAGCCAGGAAGGAGGGGGTGGAGGTGGGGGCAGAAGATGCAGATGCAGTGATCGGCAGCACAGACACACACAGACACAGGGAGGAGGGTGAGGATCAAAATGAAAATAAGCCATTGTGGGTTATAAGGCAGCACCAAACGGCCTCTGGAAGCATGGAGGGTGGGGGGCGCGCTGAAGCAAGCAGGGACTTTGGACATTATGGCACACAGACAATGAAATGGAGCAGCAGAGGCGGCAGCAGCTTCTTCCCATCAGGCAGCGCTGAAAGGAGCCACAACGTACCCACTGATCTTTTGAGGCCGTCTCTTTTGGAACTCTATTTCGTCGACTGTCCACACAGCCCCTTTTACGTTTTCTACTCGCACAAAACACTTGTGAAGACTAAGATTATGTCGGACTGCATTCTGCAGTTCATGTGAAAACAGAGAGAGAGAGARAAAAGGTTTCTATCAGTACAATTWAAAAAATGGCATCACAGGAGAGAACTGTCTTTAAGAGAAGAAACATTTAGACAGATGAGACCTGTAAATGAATGAAAACAGTAAATAAACCAGAGGAATACTGGCAGTCAGTGGGAGAGGTCGACCCATACATGGGCTGGACGATATTTGTGTTTTTTTCTTGTTCTGACATCAGCTAGGACTAAGATTGTTTGCTCCGAATGTTATATTAATTTAAATGTACAACATTGTTAGTTTTTGTTAGTAAATGTTTCTTTTTTGTTTAAATTGAGATTTGTGTAACATTTGTGTCATTTGCATCATGTAAATGGTAAACTTTAAATATATGATTTAATGTGTAGGGGTCACCTCGAGTGAAATAATCAAACTGTCTTGGACCTCAGACCTCTGATGGGCCCTTTAAAGGGACAAACTCTGTTTCACTTAGAACTTAATTTTAGCCATCAAAATAAGTATATTTAAAAGGTAAAAGATAATAACACTTGTCCTGCCGCTGAGCTGTTGGCTGTAACTGAGCAGCTCAGTTGACTAGCACAGTATTAATGTCTAAAAATAAACTGCTTTAAAGCCAACATCACCAATAAACTACATCTCCCATAATGTGAGATGCATGTTGATTATTCGTGGGAATTCCCAGTAGGAAAATTGGAGAGTTCAGAATTTAAGCTACACAGCACAACTCAACAGTGAGTAAAACTCTCCTGCTTTTACTTTTAATAGTATTTCTGTGTTATTTATTACACATTCAGTCAGTCGTACACATAGAACTTTTCAGTGTTTATAAGAGGACGTGTTAAAACGCTGTTTCTCTGCAGGAAACACCACATAGAGCTCAGTTATTGTTTGTTAGCTGTGCTTAGCTGTAGCAATATGGAATGTGATGTTTCCTGTTTAGTCAAAGTTACACACGAAACATCAGAATTAACGCTCATGTGGCGCCAGAGTTGTAAAGTAACTAAGTACAAATACTTTGTTACTGTACATAAGTAGATTTTTTAGGTATCTGTACTTTACTTGAGTAATTATTTTTCAGTCTACTTTTTTCTTCTACTTCTTACATTTTACACAGTTATCTGTATTTTCTACTCCTTACATTTTTAAAAAGACAACAAGTAGAAAGTCGTTACTTTTATTTCATTTTTGCTTGTTTTCATTTCAACTTGTTATTGTAAAAATAAATACTCTTCATATAAATTGTGCCTCATACAGTAGATAGAGTGAATTTAACTGTGGTAGAATGAGAAGTATAAATATATAAAATTCTGATACCGTATTAGTTTGTACACAAACAAATCATGTCACACTCCAGCAGGACATAATCATTAAAGTAAAAGGACTGTACTTAAGAAGTATTTGTATTTCATGAATTATATTATTGCATTTGGTTGCAGCCCGCAGACAGATTATCATTTTGGAAAAAACATTTGTGCAGCCTTGATATATGTATATAAACTGAAAGAGCTGGACCAGTGCATCCTAAATTTAACATAAATTAAACATTATATTAATATAAAAGTCATTTCTGCATTGTGTTGGTGAGGTCACCTCCTAATAAATGTCATTACAGAAAATATAACTGCTCATTTTAAATCAATACTTTTACTTTTAATACTTAAGTACAAAAAGTATCAGATACTTTAAGACTTTTACTCAAGTAATATCCCTAAAGGACACTTTAACTTTTACCAAAGTAATTTTTTGGTAAGATACTTGTACTTTTACTCAAGTATTACTTTGTGGTACTTTATACAACACTGTGTGGCGCTCAGTGAAAATGAGTTTGACACCCTTGGGTTAGACTGGTGTTAAAATAGTCTGGATCTGCCTTAAAAAACTGTTTTTTAAGGCCGATCGGTTGAGTTGTTGGTAGTTCAAACACAAAGTTTATTAGTTTCCATAGCAATTAACATCAGCCCCATCTTATTTCTTATTAAAACACCTCCTTCTCTGGTTTGAATCAGACACCAAAGCCCAAACATGCTATTCAAAACTGTTTTCCTGACCAGAAGTTGCTGGGTCATTTTCACTAAAGAGATCTCACAACATAAAGGTTCAATCCAAAAAAAGTTAAAGYATGAAAGGAGACATTCATTAATCATCCTTTTGTTATTGTGGGAGCAGCAGGGTGGGAGAGGAATCYAGTGTTTATAACACCGGTGTGCCCCTATGGAAGAGCTGTCAGCACGTATGGAGCTGATGGAGGACACGGGTGGAGCAGGGTGGTGACGCTGTGTGTGTGTGCTGTGGTTAGAGCTGATCAGCTCTGGCTCAGAGGGGAGCTTTCAGGGCTTCGCTGCTCTGTGTGTGAGCGTGTCGGAGCCRGGTGGAAAACAGAGCGTTACCTTCTGAAGAGAGTGAGAGGGGCTGAGCCAGGAGGYGCTGGCAGGGAGCTGCTGTTTGACTAATGCCACCCACCAACAGAACAGCCCCACATATTACAAGAAAACAGCTTTCCCCCCTCTTTTCCTCTGTTTTTATTTATTTACTTTAAATGTTTGTATTTATAGAGAAGCATACTGGTTTCTCTATTGGTTTGAATGTTTATATAAAGGGTGGTTCTCTTGAACAGAATGAATGGTGTATTGTTAAGTATTTTCATAAATGTGGGTTTATAATGATATAATACCTCATTCTGCCTAACATCAACAAAAAACACTTCAGTATTCAGTGGTACAGTATCCAAGACAGGAAAAAAAAAACGAGAAAACTATTACCTTCCACGTTGCTGCGTTGCGTCTAAAATATGCAAACATTCGTGTGAACCAGTTGTAGATTTCATTTAGTGTTAGCTGCTTTTCTGGAGATTCCAGGATTGCCTGGGTGAGAGACGGYGACAGAAACAAACATTTTCACTCTTTCCTTGCTTCACACAAACCATTAATAATTGACAAAAGGCAAGCAGGTCTGCGTGAGCTCCGCTGAGAGAAAACAAGACGAGGCAAATTGTGCTCTGCCAGGAGAAGTGTAAAGCGCTTTTTAATTCCAAACGGCAGATTTGAATACATTTTCCTTTGTGGGTGTAAATGAAGGGCAAGCAAAAACATTTCTCAGGCAGATTACAGGCCGGCAATTATGGACGGCTCAGATTAATTCCTGAGATCCCAGATTACTGCGGTCGGTTGATAATTGACTGGCCATCTTAAAACAGGTTCATCCCTACTGTTGTGTGAAATGAGTTTGGTAGCAGTCGCAGCCACTCAAATGCCTGATCAAACTAAATGGTAATATGTGACTGTTTGGAGTCCGGACTGCCTTCCTGCACTCGTATAAACTGGGATTAGAAACTCCTCTATCTAAAAACGCTCAGATACAATGAATAATAGAATCATTTGAAAAGCATTAAGCTGCAGGGTGTAAAATATTTCATTCAGTCCATCAGAAAGGGGGTCCTTACCTGTCTTATTAGTGAGGCGTACGTGAATGGTGGTCTGACGTCTGCGTTCATATAAAACTCTTTGTTCTGACTGAGATCTGTAGGAACAAATACAACCATGTAGAACCTGAACACAGCTCTAATTCCATTACATAACTTTGTGTGAAGCTTGCAGAGAATTGTCGTTGGGGCGGGTGGGTACCTGGAGAAATAGGCATGTTGTACTTTTCTGAATAGCGCCGTCGAATTGGACCCACGCCGTGGAGGCTGTTGGCCGTGATGACTGAGTGGGTCTGGGACAGGGGTGTGAGCGGTGCCGTGGGAGTGGTGGGGGTCTGGGGAAGGCTCAGTGGAGGAGAGGCCTCGGGGGCCGACTTGGACAACGTGACGCTGGACACGAGGTTGAGCTGAGGAACAGAAAGCAAAGCAGAGACAGAGAGTTAGTTCTCTAATCACCCCGGTGTCACAGACGGCTCACTAGCTGCTCGTTGCAGGTGGGGGTCCTGGGACGATCTGTGAATGGTCCCTGCACATTTGAAAAACAACCCTGGAGACCCACTTCTCCTCTCTCTCTCTTTTTCCCTTTGAGCTCAGCTCTTATGCTGCGTTCCATTTACACTGTATTCCGGGAACTGGTAAATGGTAGTGACATCATTTCCCAACAAACAATATGAAACTGCATTCCAATTAGCCGACAGGCGATTGTATTGTTGCTGCTAACCTAGCTACAACACTGCTACAATGCAAACAATGACAAAGAGAGAGTTCTACTACATACGTCATGCAAATAAACATTGATTTTATTAAGTATTGCACAGAAAACACTACTTGTGTGAGTGATTAAACAGGCACAAAAAAATTAAGCAAGATAATTAGTAGTAAAAGTTACAGAGTTAACTTTCTAAAGCTGCAAGTAGACGCCATCTTGAAATCGAAACTGGGGGCTGTTTCATTTCTTCCACTATACGAGTGGAATATTACCACTGGAGGGGGCGTTCCAGTTTAAATCTACCAATGGGAACAGGGAAATTACTACTTCCCAGGACTACTGGAACGCAGCATTAGTCCTCCTTTCTGCTCTCTGTTGGCTCGCCCAGCTCAGTTTCACCATTTTTGGTTTATTTATTTTTCTCMCTTTCAGAACCCCCCCTGCTGCCACCCCGTCCACACAGACAGTAGTAGTGGTGAGGGATGAGTTGTAAGGTTGTACAGCACTGATAGATTCTCACCTACCGCTGAGAGGGCCTCCTAATAAGGAAAGAACAGGAAGAAGCCAATCTGGGCTAATTACAAGCTGAAATTGTATTGTGAAGATCCTAATTAAGAGGTGCTTACAGAGGTGATGTGATGATTAACTACTGTGCCTGACTGGCCTCCATCATTAGGGTCAGGATGGCCACTGTAAAGCTGGACCTACAGAGTTTTTCACAGACAACATTTGAAGGGAGTCTTTGGTTTCAGCACTGAGGCCTGCGAGTGGGGAGGCTGGGTCAGCCAAGGCGAAAGAAGGATTTAAGAAATAATGGCTACAAGGTAAACTAATTATGGCAAGTGCTCCGAAGGTATAGCATGGTTTCCAGCAGCTGCGGCAGCTCCGAGCCCAGTGCCAAGCCTCCGTACTGGAGCAGCAGTCAAGTGGAAAATTCTAGCCTGACCCCATGCTCCGGCTATTAATTGGCAGGAAAACTAATGACACATATACATATTCTCGCAAAATTGTTCTAATTGCTAATTTGCTGAAGGAGGCCAGTTTCCAAATTAAACATGACTTCAGAGTTTGAGAAGAAGAAGAAAAAGGAGAAAACACTGAAAGTGAAATGCAAAGCTAGTGAATGAGAGTGAGGGTGGTGTGGGGTTTTGACATTGTGCTGATTCTGAGAGCTCAAAGGTCAGATAGTTCTTGATAGTAGGGGTCCAGGGATGATTCTGCTTTAGCTACTAAAAACAAATGGTTTGACCTTTCAATGAATAGGATTATTGGCATTCAGTACCAAAACAATAAAGTTTCAGCAATCTGAATATGACATCGCTAGAATTCATAAGCGACACGGTGTTTTATTCATTATTTTATTGTGTGAGTGCTGATTGGACAAAGTATCTCAGTATACGCCAAGCTTTTTTAACCATTTATGTATAAAAACATTCAGCCCGTTAAGGACAGTTGAACTTTTTTTTAATTTTAATTATTTTAAAAATGTTCAGCTTTATTTATATTTTCCCTCATTAAAAAACAATGATAGTTTTACAAACCCTTAAACAACTTTGTGCCATTTAAATTCTGCTTCACCATACTTAATCCATGTTTATCTCTTGTGTGGTGTTTTGTCAATTTTAGCATTTAATGAGGAAATGTTAGGTTTTTGCTCTTTTTTTTTTTTTTTTTTGGATATTTTAGATTGGAGTTACCGATTAGCAAATTTTATCTTTAAGCCACAACTTTGCTAAATTTAGCTCTTGGCTATTTGTTTTTAAAGTTTAGCTTCTTACACCTGGTTTGGTCATTTTAGCTGGTTTTAACTTTGTTAGTTCAGTATCAGCATTCACGCAGCAACTTTGCAGAAATATAGCAGATATAAAGAAGAAAACTGCTCTCCCTAAAATTAGTGACAAGCCTGTTTGGTAAACTCCTGGTTTTAGCACACATGTCCAAGTTCTCACAATGTTTGTTTATGTTTTGGAGGCTGAACTCTGTCTTCTTGGCAGCGTCTGCCCAAATAATTTGGATTTGTGCAGAGATGCACGCATGCAGTCTGCATCCTCACCCACAGTAGCAGAAGACGTGTTGTTCTAAAGCATGAACAAAATAAATTACACTTGGGTTTTGCGTGTTTCTGACACAATGCTATCAAGTGAATGAGGCTGCCGTGTTGACTTCTCTTCCTGTGGATTAGCAGGCTTTGTTTCATGTTTCATCCATATTCCCTGGCCATAAACACAGAGAGGCTTCAACAATAGGCCAGACAGGCTGGTAATAGCCTTGCCTTTGTTTGCCTCGCCATTTGGGCTCACTCCAGTTCGTAGACAAAATGAGACTTCACACTGAAATTAATTAAATGGTAATTGGTGATCTAATTATACTGGCTTTGACTCGGCAAGCTGCTAAAGAAAATAAACAAAAAGTCCCTCCTTAATTATGTATGGAGTAAAAGGTCAGATCTCTGACAAGAATGCTTAGTGACACCGTGTGCTGACACCCACCCACTCACACAGAGACAAATACAAACACACACATACACACATGGAAACATGCATTGCTAATGTGGCACATTTAGTTTTCATCTTCCCCACCCCCCATCCACCTCAGAGGAGGGGGAAAAAAAGAGTCTGGTTTGCTTATAAATGTGCAGTTTGTTTAATTCTTAATAAATGTAAAAAAGCACGTTCACCTGAGCTGCCTTTTTTTATGTGAAGCTACAGAAACATCTTGTTTTACATGTTATACCACAAAACACAAGTAAATAACAACCCAGCAATTATAGTAACTCATCTGTATTCACAAAGTGGCTCTGTTTCAGGTCATCTCTGAGGAAGGTTTTGCTCTGCTTCGTATTTCTGGCTACTTCTGATGCAATCTCCTTGTAGCCTCGGTGGGATTGTGGGCCCTGACCTGCGCTCACCCAGCCAGACTCAGACGTTTTCATCACAGCCTTTCACAGCAGCTTGCAGCGGGCAAGAACTGCCCTGGAGAACGGCAGTCTATTTATTTGAATAAAATAAAATAAAAATCCCAGCTCGCCCTCTAGAGAGTGTTAGCGCTGAGCTCTGACACAGCCGTTCTCACCGGCCCAGGGGAGAGGGGAGAGGAAGTGAACTCAAGATGCTATCTGCCGCCCCGACCACTTTTCATATACAAATGTCCCCCGTGTCAGAGCCCTCGTTCTGCACTCTAATCTGCACAATCAGAATGTGTGACACAGGCGCAGTTTGAACAGACAGCTTATTGTCATTCAGCATCTCCAGGCGCTCGCCGCTGAGTGGCTGCGCGGTGCTGAGCGCACACACAGCCTCTGGATGTCGATAGCCTCCTCTTTGACTGTAAATAAATGATCCAAACAGCACAGGGACAAGATGCTTGCGTGTATATTGTCCATTTGCGTGCGTGTGTGATTTTACATTCATGCCCTGCAGTAAAATCCTATCTGCTCATTTGGCAGTCTGAGTGAACTGTCACACAGGCTGAAATATGATGTGGAGGCTTCGTCTTAAACACGACACAACTGAGCAGACATTTAAATGTCATCTGTTAAGCCTTTGCCTTTGTAGTACAAGGATTAAGCAGCTCACTTTATATTATAGCATGCATTACGAGTAATAAGGTATAATGTTTGGAATATGTAGAAAAATTGGACATTTTTAGTTTTCCATGAAACTCTAGTTGTTATTTTTATTTTCACACATTATTTTCCACAGTTAAAATTCTTTCTAATGTAAAATGTTTTGTATTAAATTAAATATATTTTTATAGTACGTATGTTGCTCACTATTAATGTACTGTTGGGTTATCAGAGTGTAATTCCTGACAAATACCTAATGAAGATAGAAGTAAAAAGCCTTTTAAGGAAGCATCTGTTATTAATTAATAAAACACATGTCATTAGAATGGCACAGCTGTACAACAGCTAACACCTTTTAAAATTATACAAAATTACAGGAAATAATTAGAGCAACAGCTCCATTCATGTCTTCTATTTCTTGTCATTAAATTCTAGTTCTGCACGTTTAATAGATTTATTTTTAGGACATTTTACATGTCGTGTGTATGCAAGAAAGGTTGTTATTTTGCCTTTAAAGCCTCAAAAGACACGAGTTTCATTTGATCACTTTTTTTCCACCACCTACACATTTATTTTTCCTGTTGTGCTCAAACAGGCCTCTCACAGGCAGAAATGGGGGCCATTACAGAGTGTGTGTGCATCCAGTTCATCACAGACACCAAATTGAATCTCAGATGTCAGCAGATGTGGTCCAAACTATATTTACTGCATCCCTCAAGAGAACAGCTGTTTTTATTTAGCAGATAAATAAGAAGATGGGGAAAGGATTAATGAATACATGTGTGCCAATTAAGACAAACAAAAGGATGAGCTGGGGGAGGGATGGGGAGGGAGATGTATGACAGGGTTGCTGCTCACCGGCTGCGGGGTGGCTTTGGGCTCTGTGGACTTGACATGAAGATGCGTCATCATCGCTTGCAGACGCTCTTTGTCTTTTGCTAGCTGTAATGAGAAAGGAGTTTTTTTTAATAAATAAATAAATGACACACACAGAAAAAAAAAAATCTATTTTTGCACTTTAATTAATCCCAGAAATCCCTTTGCACTGAAGACACTTTTACTAAAAATACATATGAAGAATCTCATTTTCAGAGGAATGCTTTTAATTATTTCTTTATAAAATGCAGATGGAAACTTTCAATAAGTCTGCAGTCAAAAGAGCAAGTTGGAAAGTTGAAAATAAAACCCGTCTCTTTCCTCAGTCCTTCTCTACCTGTCTGAACCTCAGCGCTGTCTTAGCTGCCAGCTTGAATTATGATGACAAGCTGCATGCAGAGGAAGTGTGCGTCTGGTAAAGCCTCTCCGATCCCTTTGGATGATAAACCACCGGAGCAGAAATAACACGACAGTGCCACGGTGTAATGTATGAGCAGCCAAAATCTCTTTGTTTAAGGTTAACTTCTAGCAAACCAAAACGGGTTTTGAATCATTATCAAGTCATTTTAGGCAATTATGTGGCTTGTGTCTGAACTGCAACTGTATAATTCCTAAAATCTGGCATTCATCATGTGCTGATTTCACTTTGCAGAAGCTAATATGGTAAAATATTATGAATTCATTTTCCTCCCTAAAATGCTAATAAATGCCTTCAACCATAAATTACTAATGAAACTGATAGAAAGGCCATTTTAAATATCTTTTTGGATAACTATTAATTATGTACATAGTTTTTTAATACCAAAAAATATCTTCTAGACACTTTTTAGGACCTTTTTTTTGGTAGTGGTTTACAATAATCTTCCTGTTCCTCACTAAACACCAACTGCCTATCTCCACTGTGCAGCCGAGTCATTTCACCAAGTGTTTTATTGGTGGTGCCAAACAGTTAAAAGTCATAAATAACTTTAAAACCCAGTAAAATGCAAAATGTAATTATCTTCTCTATTTAGCCCCAGGCCATTCATATATCTTTTCCTGCCTGTCATGCATACATAACACATTTTTAATGACTGGTTACTCGCAAATGTACAAAGATTATTTCATTCNCCCCCTGTGTGCGACCTGGTGGCTGATACCACACAGTGGGGGGTGGGGGGGGGTCTGAGGACGTGTAAGCAGAAGAGGACACATAAATATTTGGATCAAAACAAGTAGTGAGACAATACCTGCAGCTCCAGCTGTTGTACGACCTGCATTTGCACCCGACACTGGGCCGTGCTCCTGTCGTCCAGGGCGTGCTCATTGTTGAGATGCCTGCAAAACACACAATTATTAAAGGCCTTTTATTCCTCGAAGGACTGCAGATCACCTGCCAAGATTCACACCAGACATTTAGGATGAAGACCATCTTGTTGAGTTGTAGCTGTTTTGGTAAAACCTCAAAGTTAAAGTTACCTGATATCATGTGATTGATTGATTTATAAAGCGCTTAACAACAATCAACTAAGGTGACCAAAGTACTTTACAGTAAAACTCACATCACAAAAAAAAAAAAAATAAATAAATAAATAAGAAAAGAAAATGTCACTATGCTACATGGTATTAAAAGCCTGTCTAAAAAGTTTTGAGCTTATACTTAAAGATGCCCGGGTCATAGGTGGAGCGAAGCTCTAGAGCAGTGGTTCCCAACCCTGGTCCTCAATGACCCCTATCCAAATGTTTTACTTGTTTCCCTGCAATTCAGCAGGTCTTCAGAAGATTGTTAAACACTCTGTCATTCAAACCAGGTGTGTCAAATCAGGGAAACATCTATCACTGCTTTAAATGTTGACCAACACCTCAAAAGCTTCTCTGAGCTTGATGAGACATTTTCAAAATATAATATTGACCTAGTTTTCTGTTTTCTAGTATTGCTTTTGGAAGCCATTGATTCTTTGTCGTTTATATGTAAATAATAAATCAGATAACATGTATTAAAGCAGTGATTCTCAACCCTAGTCCTCAAGGACTTCTTTCCTGCATGTTTAGATGTTTCCCTGATTTGACACACCTGGTTTGAATAAATGAGTGATTAACAATCTTCTGAAGACCTGCTGAATAGCAGGGAAACAAGTAAAACTTTCAGATAGGGGTACTTGAGGACCAGGATTGGGAACCACTGGTCTAGAGTAAGGCTGTTCAACTGGTGGCCCGCGGGCCACTTCCCGCTAGTGATGAAAATCCAGCCCACCAGTTGGTTCATAAATGTCTTAAATACAAACTCCCATTTTTAAAATTGAATTCCTATAAGTTGTTTATTTAGTTAGACAGGCTTGTGGCATCTAGAGAAACACCAGAATGTTGGCTCACAGCTGGTATAAACCATTTGTATGAATGCCCAAGACACATAAAACTACAAGCAGTTGAAGATAAAACTAAGGAAAGTAAAAATAAATGTGGCAAGTCAGAGACGTCAAAATAATATTTGTGTTAAATTGGAGGCATGCATGATGTGTTCTTTTTGTTTTTGATATTGTTTGAATTGCACGACATTTATTACACAGGGTTCTGTATGTTGTATTCATGATTAATGCAGCAAAATAAAATATTTCAAAAGGTAACAGATCTTTGTAACACTTGGTTTATTTACATAATGTCTTTAATTGCAGGATGTTCAACCCCTCAGCTGTTGACCTGCAGTAACTGTGGCCCCTGGACCAATTCGGTTGAATAGAGTCTAGAGTTTGTTCCAGAGTCGGGGTGCTGCCACTGAAAAGGCCCGATCTCCACAATGTGTGATGTCACAACATGTGTGTTGGGAATAACACTCAGCTACTACCAGACAAAAATAGCCATTTTTGTGTTTTCAAAGATCAGTTGGCTGTGGAGGCCAACTTGAATTGGGTTGGTTCCAAGTGATTATCTGCTTAAAACTATATTAAAATCCATTCAGTGCTTCATGAGATCTTCTGCTTATAGTTGTTGACAAAAAAAAAAAACGTTTGTTTTCAATTTTTTAGTGCTCAGCTTATGTGAAGGGGATTAGTCTCAACTAGTACCACACCAAGTTCTAGCTCAAAATCTATTAAACTGACCGATTTAGAGCCATTTTTGTTTCCTGAGGTCAGCTGGCAGTGGGAGTCATCTTGAAAGGGTTTTTTTGTCCAAAAGATAAACATAGTACTTTCTCTGATTATTTTCTGTAAGTTTCATTAAAGTCTGTTTGGTGCTTCATGGGATAATTTGCTTAACAAAAAACCTTTGCACATCGGCGTTTAGATGGGTGATGATACAAAATAGGAGATCAAACCACAAAAACTATGGATCAATTTGACTTCTGAAACTGTTTTAGATGCAGAAGAAGAAGCAGTCTGTCTCTGTGATCAGTGAGGCGAGTGAGCGTAGAGCTTTTGGAATAACATATATATGAATAGTGCAACAGACTGCAGTGATTATATGTACTTCTTTTAATGTAAAAGAATGACATTCAATAATTCATGAYGGGGATGACTGCTCCCACAGCTCACTGATAAGAGGAACGATTGAAGAATTTCAGGTTGGATTCCTTTACTAAATTATGCACCAGTGCCCTAACAGCAAGTCTTCCCACTGCAGCTCTCCTCTGCCACGTCCATTTAGCTATTTATTTTTTCGTTTTTTTGGTGTTTTGCATTGTTAATTTTATTCATCAAAATTAAGAGAATTGGAATAAAGCCAGTCCAAACGTAGAGGACAACAGGACWAGTAGATGGAATCTGTCACAAACTTGAATTATGGATATAATTACGTGYGATTATTTTATTCAGGAAAGATGTTCTCTTTGCGTGCACGTTTATAACTAATCTAAAGTAGCTCTGGGTAGCAGACAGGGTTTTTTTTTTCCTGTGATTTATATAAAATGTTGGAGATAAGGTTCATGAGTGAAGGAAATGTGATTGGAGGAATTTTATCAGCTGCCGCATGAATTACTGTTTGAAAATGCTTATGCAGAGGCATTTCATTAATCATTTAATCATAATCCGAGCAGGATGTTTGAACTGATTTCACAAATACCCTTTCATTTCACTACTTCATTATGCTCGCTAATGGATCCAATATATTATATATATCATAAATTATATCACATCTGTGGTGACCATGTAGGTCACTGTCACCAGGCACGGCTGTGTGTGCACCAAGTGGCATGGGCGGATGGGAGAAAGGTGTCTGCCTTTTTCGTGCACACTTTTTCTGCCGTTTGCTGCAAATCAAAAGCAGCCGGAGTCGACCTGTGAAGGCTCGGCGGCAGCGGAGACTTTACGGCGGCCCGATAAATTCCGCCGCCGTTGTTTTTACTTTCAGACGACACGTTTGAGCGTTAAATACCACATTTACACTTAGGAACTCGACGTCTGAAGCGAGAGGAACTGATAGAGCCCTGCTTGAAATAYGTTCGGCTGCAGCACTTCCAACCTTGAGGTGAATGATTTAAATCTTTATGGGAAACGTGCTCTCTTCCCTCGGTCAAGTCTTCCTATTGTGTTTTCATAATACATGTTTCAAAGCGTCTGTCCTATACATTCATCACTTCAAGTTAATTATTGCGGCGAAAAAAGAAATTAAAGAGGCATTTTTAAAGAAAGCATGGCCGATAGAACACCCCCCCCCCCCCCCCCCGCCCCTTCTGAAATGAATTCAGACTTCTCGAGGCTTTCCATTTGTTCGAATCAAATAAATGCCCGTTTAATTAGGTGGGTCGGAAAATGAAACTGGTAAACATTTCAGGACATCTTACTAAATTTCAAAGAGGGAAAATAATAGGTAAAGACATTTCAGCTTCAATTTAAGCGRCCCAGACTGAATTTTCAATGAAGGGGTGGCCTACGTGAGCAGCTTTGGAATTCCTCGGCTCATACGAGACATGTGCCCCGCTCCTTTTCATCCTTTGTTACATTCCACTTTATTTCTTCTAATGACACGGAGAGTCACAGTGCATAATTAATAGGAAATGAAATATTCAAATGGCCCTAATGCAGCCTTGAGAGGAGTGTCTGGACACGGGTGCAGAAGAAAACGGGGAATTGACGTCTGGAGAGGCTATGAACGTTGGCATGTGTCACTTTCTGGACTTCAAATGAAGCCACTTTAAAAAAGCTCTCTGGCAGGATGACGGACTCTAATGTAAATTGCCACAATAAAACAAGTTAAAGAGATATTCCCACAGTCGGCTTTTTACATATCACTTAGTTCGCCTGAGTTTTTTCACCCTCAGTGTTCTTAATTATAAGGTTCACAGCCGTCTCCCAGGAAGGATTTCTGTTCATCGCTGCTGGACTATAATGCACACATCTGTACAGTAGGATGGGCACTGATTTATGAGGTTTCATTTGTTTATTATTTACAGTAAATACATAGTTGACTTTATTTTTTTATATTTTCTATTTTGCTTTCAGTTTAACTTATTGTTCCTCGGTGCTGAGTGTGTGAGGGGAGTCTTTGTGCTGTGAACATGCAGCACTAGAGGGCACTGCAGGGTTTCATTGGCTCTGACCTCGGACTGGACACCAAAGACAAGGGGTCTTGACCCCCATAAAAACACCACGTTCTCCTGTGAACCCAGTCCCGCCCCTCTCGGTGTGCCGAACCCCAAAACGGGAACGGTGATTTGGCATTTTGTGTTTATCGAGATAGACTTTGTAGGTATGTCATAATAAAATAAATACACATAGTTTAAAACAACAGTGTTAGATGTTGGCTTGTGGAGCAGAAATCTGTTTGACATTAGAGTCCTCCTCACCTTTCTGTCTCCCCGGTACACAGAACACTGTGTTCTGCTGACTCCACGCTCAAAGACACGCGGCCCCGTCTCTGGTTAGACTTTCAACCTCGGGAGACGTTTGAAGCAGCAGCATTATAATGTCTGCTGTACTCTTTGTTTTTGTTTTGAAATCCTTTCAGAGGCCTGCAGTATCAGTTGCCGGGTTTCATGTGGAAGTGCTTAAGGTTTTGAGAGTTAACACCTTGGTGAGCTGCTCGCACTCTCGCCTGCCGTTAAACAAAGGCAGCTTTGTGGAGACTCTCCTCAAATGTTTTCTTAACATGTTCCAAGCAGTTTGAGCAGGCAACTAAAGTAAACAAGATGTTGCCATGATAAAAACACTTGTAAAAACAGAGCTGAGTGCACTTTCAGGCAGAGCTCTACTGGGTACACTGACTTTAATTCTCCTCCCTTCTATAAACAAAGGGTGAGGCGATGTCAGAATACAATAAATAGTGATAGATGTAAGCAGGCACACCCTAATCTAAAGACTGAATGTCTTTGTGTGAAAATGTGTGATGAATGTTTTAATAACTATCACAGGATATTTTCTATATTAAAATAAGAATACATAATTACCTCTTTTATTTGATGATACTACAAGCTTACATAATGACTGTTTTAAGTTAGTAATCTGATTTATGTATACAAAAAAAGAGAGTTCAAGACGATGAGAGTGTGAAAACTTTCAGCAGCTGATGTGGCGGGGCCTCTGTGCTCCTGTGAGGAAGGTTGTGTGTTCGCTGACTGCTTGTTTTAGGGTAATGGAATTGTGTCATATCTTGTTTAAAGTGCGACTAATCCGGGGTGACAGTGAGCCATTGATCTGCTGCCACAACGCAGATGTTTTCATCCTCTTTGTAACCATGGCACTGTTATGTGCTGGATTACCTCGAGCGCGCCTGCACACACACAGTTGATTAGTAAACCAGGGCTGCAGCTCAAACGGGGAATCAGAGCAAAACAATGCAGTGCGTTAGGTTGGACAGAGTCAGACAGGTTTTCCACTTCTACGCTGTGACGAGTGGGAACAGCAGGTGACACTGGCTTGGCTGGGGCTGCTCAGCACTAATACATATATGTGTGGGTAAGTCTATAAATGATGAGGTGTCAGCTGTTAATACTGTCAACATTAAAGGCTTAGCATACTTTGAAGAAATACATCGTCTGCTGCTTTTCAGGCCCAAGTGTTAAACTAAGAACATCTTATAGAGAGAAGTGGGGATAGACCTTGTAGGAGACATTATACACAATCTCATGTGAGGAACCACAAACACAAGTTTAAAGTAATTAAGTGCATTTACTTTGTTACAGTACTTTAGCATTTTTTTGAGGATTTGTAATTTTACCAAGTACTTTTTAAAATAGTTAATTTTACTTTTATTTTTGTTACATTTAAAACCTAAAAATGATACTTTTACTTCTTCACTTTAAAATTTAACACCTAGTTACTCG